CAAAATGTATATTTTATTTGCTTTAAATATTTGATGTCTAAATATGTATTAATTTGCTGTAAAATATCCCGAATCTAGAAGCGTGTGAAATCGGGGCATGGAATTTATTAACCTTTGAAAATTTCTGGGATTCTCTTTCTCTTTGTGATCGCCTTCGTCAATATTAAACCAGATTTCGGAATCGTAGAGTAAGTGAGACAAAAAGTTATGAAATGCGTGTGATGTGGACAATCCACTCGAGTTGTACAATATATTTTTTTTACGACTCACTAACGAAAATTTACAAATAAAAAAAATATTTTAGGTTATTAAGACAAAATAACTAATTATAAAATAATTTATCACTTTTAATAATTTTTAAAATAAAATAAACGAAAAAAAAAAAAAAGAAAAAAAAAAAAAAGAAAAAAAAAAAAGGCAAGAACGCTAACCACAGGACCATATATTTTTTATTTTTGTTGTTTTGATACTTGTAATTAAATTGACTCCATATAGTTTTATTTAAATTAACAAATTATTTTTAATTATAGATGAAATAGAAACAGAAATATTATTATTTAAACGATTCTACACAAGAATAATCCATTTTAATGTATGTTTAAACTCAATAACTGAAAAATTTACTGACAGTTAGTTTGATAGAATTGTCACTTATTTAAAATTTTAAAAATAATAGAACGTGGTTGATCAAAATATGAACGGTGATTGCTGGATTTCATTTTTTGCAGTGTTCTCACTACCTAGAATGAATATGAAATATATTCGTTCATTTGAAGGCAATAGCATACTTTTTCGTTTTGTAATATGTTCGTAGATAAGCTAATATCCATGTGGGTGTAGAAAAAATAATTTATTGAACAAGGGGTGGAGGGCAATTAGTTTTGGTCAATGACCATCATCATGCATGTTAAAGCTGCACTGGGTATTGTCAAAACTTATTCAGTCGACAACAAATTATAGCTCGTTAAATTCTAATTACCAATTAATAAACAGTCTAACAGCCGGTTGCAAGAACGATTATTAAAATCTCTCATTAGCTAATTTCATAACTTTGTTAACTCCTAAATGGTAAATTTGGCAACGGCGCTTTTCCAAATAACAGTATGACATATGTTATCGAGATACGTCAAAAATTATATCTATCTTTGTCGACCCATTTAATAAAGCACAGTGCAGGTGAACACAAACGATATGTTTTCGCAATGAGTGCTCCGCAAATACAGTCAAGCCCGAGATCCGACGAGACTTTTGACATAAGAATTGTCTAAAAAAATATACTTATATTTGAAAATACGCAAAGAAAAAGAATTTTAAGAAGATTTATCACTGTAAAAAATTGGATTTTACGATGGAAAACAAAGGATTATTATACTAACCACAAATAGTTAGTACTTTAATTATAAGAGATACTTTCTTTATTCACAAACAATATTTTCTTGTAGCAGTGCCATGTACAAAGACGTGCTACAAACTTCCTATTAAAAACTCTGTAGGTATTTTTTATAAAAGGATACCTATATGTAAGGTATCCAATTCTTCGTTAGTAATATGTTACTTTCACTTGTTTATTATTATTATCCATTGCCTATTATTAAATTATGCATTTAATTTTAGAGAATTGTCATTTATTCGCATGTTTCTGAGAAAAAGTGCATACTATTATATATTTTTAAAAAGATAAAGGAAAAGAAAAATTTTATAGTCTTTAAATATACAGGATGTTCCATTTAAAAAACATAGGTGTGCTTTATAACTAAAAAATAGTAAACACATAACAAAAGTTATCTACACCACTGCATTCTATGAAAAAATCTATAAGAAAGTTATATTACCTTTTCGATAAGTTAAAGGGTAACGGAGATACGAGGGTATTCTAAAATGCAACATTTAGAAATATCAGTTTTTCGTGTTTCTGCATCTCTTAATTCCTGTGCTTGCATCTAATATAATAGGTATAGGTATATCTCTAAACTCTGTGAGTCAAGTAGATTGCACACAGATGATTTTGTAAATTATAAACAACAATAGATCATGAGATCTGTAGCATGTAGAGTAATTTTTTACTGAGAATAAAATAATTCGTCTGAGCGCTTTCGGCCTCTTAAACCATCATTAAAGACTCTTATAAGAGCTGTTACAATACAATAAACTCTATCATTACTAAATCATAGAATAAACAACTTTGTACACTTACTCGACAAAAAACCTATAGAAGAAACATCAAGAAACTAAACTAAATTAATAAGGGACAACAACTGACCAGTCCCAAGTCTCCACCATAGCTTGCAGCTTAAATAATTCAAAATCCAAACCGAAATTCTGTGACTGACCCAGTGCAAAATGTGAGGTCAGCTGATTAGTTTTTAACAAAGAAAGTGGAGGTTCATTCGTCCATGCAGAACTAAACCATGCTGATATGGAGAACAAAGAACTGCTAATCTTCCATTTGAAGGCAGCAAGGGTTAGCCAATTAGTTTCGTGAGGCGAAGACAAGTAGGAATAAAAAAATTTCGATTAATTCTGATGCCTTGGTAGGATTTCCCACTCGACCATTTACTGTTGGGTTCTAATTAACAGTGCTGTTCCTAAAGTGGCGCTGGGAAACAGTTACAAAGCCTACGCAGAACACGAGGCTAATGGCCGTAGTAGTCGACGCCGATGACACCAAATTAAAAAAAAAAAAATTTTAAACCAACAACCATCTTAGCAATGTGCCAAAACGGCATGAGTGAAAATTGACATTTGACAATGAAGTTGTCAAGAAAAATGTCAACTAAAGAAACTGAAATGAGATTGGGGAAAATTGTCAAAGAATGATATTAAAAATGATAAAAGTGGGTTGGTACCTCTGAGCAAGCAGTAGTCAAGTTATGGCGGGACTTTAAATTATTAAATAACAAATGATTACAATGAATTAAATAGAATTATAGGTTATACAGTAAATGAAGGTAAAAAAACATGTTTTTCTTTTAAAAATTATAAAGGAGCCAAGCTAAAAACAAATAACAGAATTGAGCAGGCCAGCTCCAGCCAAACCGAAGTCGCAGGCAGACCAGCTTTTCCAGCTGAAAGGAGGAGAAAAACTGTCCTGGTCACGAAATTAGCAATCGCTGGAAAAGACATGATCAACTCCGCTGCAAAGAAGATTAAAGGCGATGCTGACTAGGTAACTTCAGACCAACTGTTGCCAATACTCTTAAAGAGAGGAGGAACTTTGCTATTGAGATGAATTTGAGTGTTAGCAGCACATGTGATATTTGGTTTATTAAACTCTCTGTGTATTTCAAGGTCTTCAAGAAGATTTAGTTAAAAGTTGCAATTAAAAATATTATGAAGAACAGTAACATTCTCAGAAGGAGTGAAGTTATGATTGTTGAATTTAATATGATGTCCAAAAGTGGACTTATCTGGATATCTAATATATTCACTAACGTATTATAATTGTTACAGCTTAATATATAGATACCACTTTTGTGTAGCAACTCAATTTCATTCTTAGTATGTGATAGCTGGCTTTTAATCGAATTAACATCTTTAAAAGAAATTTTAATATTGTTGCAATCTTTAAAAAAAGCAGCAACATCATTGGACATTTTCCCAATATATAATAGTGAAAAGTATTCAAAAGTAGCAGGAGGTTCATTAGTAGGATTAGTAGGACCTTTTCTTGAGTTTGACTTTATTGATAACCACATTAATAATGGAAGGATTGTAGTTATTATTAAAAGCTAATTGTTTTAAAACGCTGATTTCTTTATTAAAATTATGATTAGTTAAAGGAATATTAAGAAGACGATAAACATAAGAGTATATGGCTGATAACTTGTGTTGATAAGAGTGATTAGAGTGAAAATTAATTAGATGGTCAGTTTTAGTTGGTTTCCTGTAGATATCAAATTCAAGTTTATTATCCAGACGACTGATAGAAAGGTCTAGAAAATTAGGTGATTTATTGACTTCAAGCTCAACTGTGAATTTGATTTTAGGATGGATATTTTTAATGAAATATAAGAAGTCATTAATCTCAGTAAAATTACAATTAACAATTGCACCAATGTGATATTCGGTTATTACCTAGTGTGTACATACCACTCAAACCTTTTCATAAATAAATTTTAGTTTTAATATTCTAGAAACAGATTACGAACCCCTACTAACTGTGCAAGCTCAGATAGGCCCGGGACTCAATTTACTCATCTCCGGGGACTCAACTAGGCGGATTATAAATTGTGGGAATCAACTAGGCATCTCCGATAATTTTTAATGGACTAATAGCGTTAGTGAGTCTATAAATATTTAACTATCGTGCTTGCAACCGGCTATATTTCTTAATAATCAGTAACCGGTTAAAAATAGAGTATTTTGTAAATGAACTTTTTTCTCGTTTAAATTTAAATATCTCTAAAAATTATTTACTTTTTGTGTAGGGAATGCCTAACTCAAATGAAGATTTAATTTTTGTACTTTTAAATAGTGATAAATGGTCAATTTAAAACACTGAGAAAATGATGTATACTAATACTAGTTTGGACTCATCCTGTACAAATTTGTTTCTAATTGAAAAAAGTAGTGCATCGGCATAAATGTTGACTAATATCGAAAACCTTTTACCGCAAAAAAAGTGGTTTCATTGGAATAAATACGCTTTTCATACAAAACTGGTTATGGCGTGTGTAATACCCTGTATAATCTCATACTGTTTGGTATTGTTATAATGGATAAGCAAGAGAAATTCAAATATAAAATAAAACCTTACTTTAATAGGCATATCGCTTTCTTGAAATAATTTTTAAATGGTTGCCTTTTCTGATATACATCTTGTTGTGAAAACAGATTAAAAAAATCATATACCTTTGTCTCTACAGACCGAGGTATTACCGGTGGCCCACCCTGTATAATAAGCATTTTCGAAATAATATTTTTAACCAAATATCGTGCATTCAATATTTGCGCCCAATCTTTGAACTGATACTCACTACCACATGTATTTTTCTTTTCAGATTCCACGGTCAACAACTTCCATTCCTTGTGAAAACTTAAAAATCGAACTACAAGGTAAGTTTTGTAAGCTTTTAGTTTTTAGAGTAAAGCTGTACGAAACCAACTTGCATAGGATTCGAATAAAGCTGATACGAACAAAGTTTTTTAAAATATACTTAGATAAAACTCCTGCATCGGTGTTATATTATATTACTATGGGGTATCAGTATTACAATCGAGCCAATAAAAAAATTTTCTTACTCTTTTTAACATGCAAAACTTTCATCTGTACATCTATATCTTCGCCAATACGATAATCCTAAAATGAATATTCGTTTGGTTTGTTTTTTTATTTTTTTTTGTGGTCGTTGTTAGTTGGGGATTTTTTCCGCAAAATATGTCAGCTGATAACACTTAGTTACTAACCAACCGTCAAGTAGAATTTATTTTACTCGCAAAATGTCAACTGAAATATCACAACAAAAATCAGCAAATACAGATCTGAGCACGTACGCATATGAGGCAAGCCGAGATCGAACCGAATGCCTCTTGCGACGCATTTTGTATATACGAATGGTAGACGTACGGGGCGTTGTTCGCCACAGTAAATTCGTGAGCACACAACCGTATATCCAGAAAATTCGTAAAATTAAAACAGGATGAAGATGACGTCGCGGAGTTGAGGACATGCTTTATTATTTTATCCTGCCAAGAATATACTTTTTTTATGGTGTAATAGAACTAGCGTTTTGCCCTCTTAGGATATCACGCTGGTTATTTAAATCCAGGAGAACCAAAACGTTTTCCTGGTTCCACTCCATGCAAAATAAATCCTTAAAACTCACTTTAATCTGTACGGTGCTGTATGGTACAAATTCCCCGTCCAAACTGAGCACATACTGCGTATTGCCTCTCTTTGATGTACCGCCAACAAACGGATCGGGGCGAGTCCGTATAGCGCACACAACGAGGCAATTTGCCGCGCCTCGGAAGCCCGTCCACATCTGCATGCTCATGCGTCCACGGTTTGCCTCATATGCGTACATCCTCAGATCTGTACCCGCCTTAAGAATGAGCTCTTCAACGATTTTGCGTATGAGAATATGACATTCTTATTTTCGCTGAACGTTTGGATAGAATATATTGATGACTACCTAATTGGCCCATTTTTTTTACCAGCAAGATTAACAGGACGTTTTGCGAGCTTATTTACCCATTTTGTTAGAAGATGTACTTCTAGATGTAAGAGACAACATGTGGTTTATGCATCTCGAAATCACCTACCCTAATCGCTGGATTGAACGTTCGGTAAGACCCAAATTTTTTTTTTTCAATTTGATAATGGCCCGGGAGGCAAAAGTTGACATTCATAAATTTTTTGCCAAAAAAATATTTTTAAATCAACCCCTTCAGGTGCCCCAACCCATCAAAAAAAAATTTTTTTTTGGAAATCCGATACGGTCATATGTGTAAACTCTTAATTTAAAGGAGGTACGCGCAATTGTCTGACAGATGTTGAATTTGTATTTTATTTTCTAGAAACAATTATTCTGCGGCATGCTTACTTGCTGATGTGCTCTCTGTTATCTGCCAGCATCGCTAGAAGCAGGTTCTCTAAGTGGCTAAAGAAGCCATTTCTCTGTATTACGACATCTACTATCTCCCTTAAATCAGTCGGCATATATCTTGAATATGCAATCAATCTCCACAAATGTCGTGGACCGACAGTACACAATGATATTGAACCATAATGGACCATTTACTTTCATGATAAATGTAGCTAAGTGTACCAGATTTTCCGTGGGATGCTCCGATGCGACATATAACCGAATGATTCCACTCGCCGTTGTCATCCATCTTGAATGTACGACTGGTCCTGGTTTAATCCTCGCAAGGTCATCGCTTTTAATCCTCGCAAGGTCATCGCTGCATTCTCCAAATGCAACATATCACACAAATATTGCTGATCAGTACTCAAAATATTTCTATCTAAATCAGGAATCAGAGAATCTGACTAGAGGGAGGGTTTCACAAGCTTGTATTGATTTTCCAATGGCACCAGAGAAAGCTTGCGGACTTTGAGTAACACCATCAAGTTGGATTAAAAAGTGGCGTAAGGGAAGTTCGTTTAAATGTAACATGCAAATGAACCATTGAAAAGGGCAATTTCTGCATTTATTCCTGTGTTGACTTTAATGCCATCACATCTAACTGCTACTAATGATTCAATCGATTTTTTTTCTATTAAAGAAATCCAATATGGCGACAGCTGATCCAGACGATACGGCTAAATGGCCCAGGTAAATGGAATCTGGCTCTCTTACCAAGGATATATGCTCCTCTGTAATGGTACTGTAGTAATACTGTAATGAAGTCAATTTTCATTACTATATTTCGGCCTATTCCGGATATAAATTTCAATTTTTATTTTTTATTTTATTTTAACTTCATGGGTAGACCCTGTATATAAAATTTTGTTTCATTTAAATTCGCGTATTTTACCTGAGTAACGAAAGCGCGCGCGCTTCGCGCACATCGAGTGGGGAGCTAGCGTGCTTGGGCATCGAGACTGGAATTCAGAATTCGGATTATTAAAAATCATTCAATTCACGTTACCGATTCGACTAGCTTCTCCTGTTTCTACTCCGATATACACCGCTGAAAATTATCGCCGATACCGTAGTTAGGTACATCGAATTTGTTTACATATTTTTTTTTGTCGACGGTTCTTGAGTTAAAAACGTTCGAATACCGGTTTCATTTGAAATAATTATTCCGTTTTCGATTTTATTTAAGAGAAATAATAATTGATTTCAGATTTTCGTTAAAAATATTTTGATTTACAGATAAATTATTTAGTTTTGATTTTATTTAGAAACATTGAAAATTAGTTTTTTTTTTTTTTTTTTTTTTTTGGTTACTAGGAAATAGAAACTTTGTTTCTATTTTATTAATTAATTAATTTTATTACGACCGTGAATTGTGTTTCTATTTTACAGTAATAGTAAACCTAATTTCAAATTAAATTCCGTATACAGTTGATTAGTTAATTTTCATTGCGACCGTGGATTTTGTTCCTAATTTTTTTTAAGTAATAATAAATTTAAAATTGAAATTAAATTCCGTACATAGTTAATTACTTAACTTTTACTACGACCGTAAATTTTGTTTCTATTTATTCACAATCTGGTTTAACTTTTTTTTTTATTTATGTTTCTTCACTTGGGAATAGAATTAGTTCGAAAGTTGGAAAGTTGAAATAGTATCATTTTTCATGTCGAGTGGACTGGTTGTGGCGAGAAAGCTCACATGGGATTAGATACTATCCCGGTTTTAGATTTTATTTAGATTAACCCCTATCCGTGATTAACATATTAGTGTTTTTCTTATGTTTGAGAGTGCTGGTTGTGGCGAGTACACTCATCATAGGATAAATACTGACCCGGTTTGATATTTTGTTTTGTGTTTGAGTGGGCTGGTTGTGGCGAGTACACTCATCATAGGATTAAATACTAACCCGGATTTTGATTATTTTCTTTTAGTTACCTCTGCGCCGTGATTAAAATGATAGTATCATTTTTATGTTGAGCGTGCTGGTTGTGGCGAGTGCACTCCTCATAGGATTGATACTATCCCGTTTTCTTATCATTTATCTATTCCCCATTCACTAAAACAAGGAGGGTTGTTTCAGTTTCAATACCGACTAGAGAGTTAACCAGATAACTTTTTCTACGACCGTGATTTTAATTTTTTTTTACGAAACAAAATATTTAACTTTAATCTTTATGCCGATTTAGGAGTTAACTAATTAACTTTTACTACGACCGCCATTATTTGTTTTTGGTTTCGTTTTGGCTCAACCACCGATCCGACAAATTTATTAATTAGATACTATTGCCACCGAGCATCTTTCTTCTAATTTTAATTCTACCGTCTGATTGAGACTAATCATTACTGGCCGATCTGTTTGTTTTTATTTTGTTCAGGGTTTTAAAATTACGAGCGGGGGTGGGCGTTGAAATATTTATTTATCTTTTTTATTGTAAATAGTTAAAATTCAATATATGTGTCAACGTTACCTTGACTGTTACTGAGGTTACTGATCCCTAATTTACTTCCCCCTTTATTTCAGCAGTGAGAACTTCTTTATCACTACAAGTGACGATTAAAGCCCGTTACTTGTGGTTACTTATTACCTGTGTCTGAGTGACCAACGACCCCTGGAATTTTTCATCTCCATCTGTGCTGCCCGAGTACTTTCGACGCCGTTTCGAAAGATTGTGGAGTAAACCACACATCAAATCTGGCGCCCGAGAGCCGTCCCGTCAACAGGCGTCATTTGTAAGTAATCGTTTTCTCTGAGGCGAGAAAACCCCTTACAAATTTGGCGCCCGAGCAGGGACCTGGTTACTTTCCGATAGGTAATCCGGTACTGCCCCCAACCCTGCCGTTTTAGATTCTTTTCTTGTCTTGGCTTTATTTTTTTTCTCTCTCCTCCTGTTTACCCCGGTACACATTGAACGTTGTCTAGTCCGCTCCACTCTAAACTAGAGCTATCCCATTTTCCGCCACTCAAACCGAAATTGTCATAGTAACCCAGTCGTACGCCAGTTAACGTTGACTAACCGTAGTATAGTAGTATAGTAAAGTTAGTTAAAATATTTTTTCTCAGTACTAGAATTTCACCGCCGCCCGGCTACCTTTTTTTTATTACTCTTTCCGGTCTCTTCCTCTATCTCGCAGAATTTTTGTTTCTCTTCTATCAACAACCCTCTTCTGAAAACCCGCTCGCGTCCGTTTCTTCTTTGAGTTTATGTCCGAAATAAAAGAAGACAACTTGTGGTTGTTAGACACGGAGGGAAACGACATACAATCCGGTTGGATAACAGAATTCTCTGAAAAAACCAGAGGTAGTACAACAGGAACCGAAAGAGGTTCAAGGATCAACAGTACTCCGAGTAGGCTGGATCTATAATTTGAGAAAACCCGAATTGACTTCCGAATTAAAACAGAGGCAACTAGCTGTCGACGGCACCGTAGACGAAAAACGTAGAAGACTTGTTTCTTTTCTACGC